CCGGGAGTCGGGGCCGCCCAGCCGGGGACCCGCGTGGGCGTCGGAGGCACCCACGTGAGCAGCTGCGCGGAGTCGTGCGGCCGCCGCGCCCACAGCCCCCGGCGCCACTGCAGGAAGGCCCAGAGCGTGGCGTTCGCGTCCTGCGTGACGCGGCTCCGGTCCTGCTCGCTCCACACTTCCAGGCCGGTCAGCGCCACCTGAATGTCCAGAGTCCTGAGAATCTGAGGGCGGGGCGGGGCTGAGGCGGGGACCCGGCGCCCCACCTCGCCGGTGCTCCTCGGGGCGCCCCCTCCTCTGGCGGCCTTCACTGCGCCCCGCTACGACCTGCCCGCCCCTTTCGCTGCTCCCTCCCCGCCGCTCCCAACCTGGTCCACGTAGTTGGCGACCTCCAGGAGACGCTGTTTGGTGTGGCTCAAGTTGCGGTGCTGGGTCAAGAACTGGGAAGGCAGAAATCCCGCGGCGGACGTGAGGGACCGGGCTGGGGCGATTGCAGACAACGCCACCCCCCCGTGCCCGCGACTCCCCTCACCAGCGTGTGGTCAGCCACTATGTACAGCTCCAGGTACCTCGGGCTCCTGCGGGCCTGTCGCCTCTCCTGCAGAGGGGCAAAAGGTGACCTGAGTGTCAGGCTGCTGGGCTTGAGCCCTGACCACCAACCCCAATTCCCAGAAAGAACAGTTTTAAGTTTTTGCTGGAACTTATTTCTTCAGACTCCGAATAAAAATACCGTGCAGGAGGCCCTGGCCTGGCGCCTGCTTATTCTGTCTCTAATGATTTGGAGGGCTCTGGATACCGCATTCCCACTCCCACTCCCGTCCCCGCCCCTGACCCTGCTCCGGGGAGCGCGAGGAAGACAGGTCATGCCCCCTTTGTCCCCCTGGTCCCTATGGCCACAGGCCCCTTTCCCGGTGAGCAGTTGCTCCATCCGCAATATCTTGTGGGTTGAGAAGTTCTCCGAGTCCTCAGGTGGCCAGGGACGCAGGTAATAGCTGACATTGCTGCTGAGTGTGATCAGGCCACTAGGGTGCAGAGGGGTGCAGAGGAAGTGTGAGAGAGCTCTTTTCCCAGCGCAAGGCCCAGCCCCCTGCCCCCAAACTCCTCACCTCATCCCAGAGCAGGTGCTGAGGACTACCCAGGAGTTAGGGAAGCCCCTCACGCGCCCACGGTAGTGGCAATGATCCTGGAGAGGAAGGGACCCAGTCTCAAATTTCAGCCATGACTGAAGCAGGAAGGGCAAGGGGGTTGGGCATGGTAGGGGACTGGCTCCAATCTCTCCTTAGGAACAGGAGGAGGGGAATGAGGTACGAATGGGGGGGCATGCATCCCCCAGCACCCCCCACCCTGTCCTCAGAACCCCTGGAATTATCTCACCGTGTGGTTGGGGATCAGCATCACTGGCTGCCCATCTGGCCTGTAGTGGGTCTCTGTGTATCCTGGGGCCAGAAGCCTGCTGGGAGGGTGTAGTGGATTGGATTATGTCCCCCCAAAACTCACTGAAGCTTGAATTGTGTCCCCCAAGTTTTATGTATTAGAAACTTGGTTCCCACTGTGACTGTTAAGAGGGTGGGAAATCCTATTGTGGTAATTGAAAGGTGGAGGCTTGAAGAGGTGATTGGATTGTAGGACCCTGCAGTAGTGAATGGATTAAAAATGGTGGTCAGGGGCATGGTTCTGAGGGCTTTAAAAGAAGAGGAGAGTCTGTCTTTGACTCTCTCTGCTGTCTCTGCTTCCACCACTGTGCAATATGAGACCCCTGGGTCACTGTCACCATCACCAGATGGACTTTGGACTTCCCGGCCTCAGAAATCATAAGCAATAAATGTCATTTTTCTTTATAAATCATCCAGTTCCAGGTATTTTGTTATAGCAAAACACAAAAACGGACTAATACGGAAGGGGAGTTATAGGAATCACCTAATTCAGCCCCGCCTTCTCCAGGATGCCTTCCAGCCTTCCCTCCCTGAATGCTAACTGAGCAGCTCTGTGAGTGAGGCACCCAGAGTGTGTTTTAGGGATGGGACATGAGCAGCTGTGCGTTGCTGAGCTCAGAAACACTCTGGACTGGGCCGGCCCGGTGGCGCACTGGGTAGTGCGCCGCTTGGGAAGCGCGGCGGCGCTCCCGTCCGAGGGTTCGGATCCCACATACAGACCGGCTCCCGCTCACTGGCTGAGCGAGGCGCGGGAGCAACGCTGTATTAGAAACTTAGCCCCCACTGTGACTGTAAAGAGGGTGGGAAATCCTATTATGGTAATTGAAAGGTGGAGCCTTGAAGAGGTGATTGGATTGTAGGACCCTGCAGTAGTGAATGGATTAAAAATGGTGGTCAGGGGCATGGTTCTGAGGGCTTTAAAAGAAGAGGAGAGTCTGTCTTTGACTCTCTCTGCTGTCTCTGCTTCCACCACTGTGCAATATGAGACCCCTGGGTCACTGTCACCATCACCAGATGGACTTTGGACTTCCCGGCCTCAGAAATCATAAGCAATAAATGTCATTTTTCTTTATAAATCATCCAGTTCCAGGTATTTTGTTATAGCAAAACACAAAAACGGACTAATACGGAAGGGGAGTTATAGGAATCACCTAATTCAGCCCCGCCTTCTCCAGGATGCCTTCCAGCCTTCCCTCCCTGAATGCTAACTGAGCAGCTCTGTGAGTGAGGCACCCAGAGTGTGTTTTAGGGATGGGACATGAGCAGCTGTGCGTTGCTGAGCTCAGAAACACTCTGGACTGGGCCGGCCCGGTGGCGCACTGGGTAGTGCGCCGCTTGGGAAGCGCGGCGGCGCTCCCGTCCGAGGGTTCGGATCCCACATACAGACCGGCTCCCGCTCACTGGCTGAGCGAGGCGCGGGAGCAACGCCGAGGCTTGCAATCCCGTTGCCGGTCCCCGGTCCGGTACGGGGGCAACACTGAGGGTTGCGATCCGTTGCCGGACACGGAAAAAAGACAAAAGACAAAAAAAAAAAAAAAAAGAAACACTCTGGACTAGAGGAAGGAAGGTGAAGTCAGGAAGGAGCTTTGGCGATGGCTTGGATGTGGGAAGTGGAAATATGGGAAATGCCAGGGAGGAACAGGAATAGGGGAAGAGTTTGTGGTCCCTGCGGCAGTTGGATCCACAGGTCAGGAGGGGAGGATTCAGGAGACAGCGCTGAGAAGGTGAGACTTGGAAACCAGGAAGTGTGCTGGACTCCCTGGTTACCCCTGTCAGCTGCCTAATTCTTGTTAGGCATCTGGTCAACCCTCTCACCCTGTCCCAGTCCAGATCCTTTAAATCTTCTCAGGCCTCCAGATCCAATGTGTGTCCCAACTGTCTTTCAGTGATACTCAGTCCCTGCTTCCAGAGAAAACAGAATCCACACCTGCCCACACCTGCTGCTGCCCTACCCACCTGAGCAGGGATCGCCAGCCCTACCTTCTCCAGATCCCACTCCTGTAATGATTCCATCTTCAGGCTCCATCTTACCTGGATCCTTCCCACCAGGATGGATCAACCATAGGTCAATCTCTCTCTTTTAAAGAAAATCCTGACTCCAGCCTCACTGTGATCTCTTTACCCCCAGACAGTCCCAAAAGACCTGTGATTCCTGCTTCTCCACCTCTCAGTAGGTCCTCCACCTTCTCTTTGCTTCTCCACTGCACACACCCCATTTGTGATCAACACATTTAATGAGTAGGGAGTCTGAACCCCAGAGAAACTATGGGTAGGCATGGTGGAGCTAGAGCTTGTTCCCAGCCCATCTGACTCCATGGGGAGAATAAAATACTCGTGCTTAGAACAGTGGCTGACATGAGCAAGCCCTCAGAAAGTGATACCTCCTGACAATAGAGTCTGGGTGGTTTCAAGACCCCGCATTCCATCTTGGACACCCGCCCCACCCAGCCCAGGCCACAATCCTCAGCACAGCTCCGCCTGCTCATTCACCAGCTCAAAATCTTTGGCTCCGCACCATTCAGGACACTATGCACTAAATGGCCTTCTGTGATCTGGCCCTACTGGGACTCCCCAAATTCATTTTCCCCTGCTCCCTTCCCTGTGCTGGGCACCTTCCAGGCAAGCCAGACAAATTACCACCCCCTGAATGTGCCGCCCCCTGAACTGACCTTTGCATCTTCTGCACCTTTGTCGGGGCCATTCATTCTCTCCTCAGCCCCGAGTGCTCTCCCATCTCTGGAATCCCATAAACGCCCACTAGGTGGTGCTAACTCATTTCCAACTGACAGCCGCCAAGATACATCTGGGGTTGGGATGAGGGATGTGCCCCGCAGCTGGGCTGGCCCAGCCTCAACAGTCCACTTCCACCTCAAAGGGGCCAGCCATGCACCTGTGTGACTCTCTCTTGTCACCTGCATCACCTCTGCCCCCTCTCCTTATCCAGCCCCCCTCATGGGTCCATGTCAGTTCCTGTCCCCCATCACTGAGGCCTCCAGAGAGAGGGTCTGTTTTCAGCTCCTAGCCCCCTCCCCAGCCTGGTACTCACTGGTTCTTCTCCAGCTCAAGCAGGAGCTCCTGGCCTTCAGCCACCAAGGCCACTAGCCCCACGTCTGGCTTGGAGACCTGGGCAAGAAGGAGTGGAGGGCAGGGATGGACCTCCAGGCCTCCATCTGCTGGGGAGCAGGTGGGATGTGCAGCTGTCTGACGAGGGAGTTCATGTGAAGAGCAGGCCCCCAGGTGTCATGGGGGCCATGAATGAGAGTGGGGGTGAAAACATGCAGACAAGGGCATTTCCAAACTCAGGATGTTTGTTGTTCTGACAACAACCACTTGAAAGTGCATGAGCACAGCCTGCCAGCTGCACACGACACCCTCCCTAGAGATGAGGGGCCAGAAAGGCGCCCTGCTTTGCCCATGGTTTCGGGGCCCTTCCCGTAGCCCACCCTCTTCTTTCGTGTCTGGAAGGAGCATGAAAAGCAGGCCCTGAGGACACTGTGGGGCATTGGGTGGCCATGGCTTGGGCCTCCTCACAGCCTCTGTGGTATTTGGGGGCTTGTTTCGTTCCCTACAGAATTCAGGCTTGATGCTTCCACCTCCAATTCTGGCTAACTGTCCCTCCCCCACTGCCCCCCCAAAGTTTATCTTGGCTTCCAGCAGGCCCGGTACCTGCTTCACTGAGCTCATGCAGTAAACATGGACCCCTTCCAAGCCAAGGGAAAACGCTGGCTTTGTCAGCAATGTCAGGAGGCTGGCCCTGGCCCGCCAGCCCTCTTCTCCTTCTCCCCACCCTCTTGCCTCTTCCACCCAGTAGGAATCTCCCCCCTTGCTGACCATTCAGCCTGGCTGGGGGCCCAGAGTTGGAGCCGGCCCGGGAGCCACCCCCAGGGGGCTGCTGTATCTTTGGAATGTTTGCCCCTCCCTTGCTGGTCCTGTCCTTCTATCCCCAAATGCACTGGGCTGGGACCCAGGCCAAGGGGCTCAGAGTCTTGGGGGGGCCTTTTTCTGCAGGTGGGGAGCAGACAGCCCTCGACTCCCTGGCCACAGGCCCCACAAGGCTAAAAGCATGAGCTCATGTGGCTGGAATGCCACTTGCTTCAGTGGGGAAAGGTTTGCACTGGGAGAGAGGCCGCGGCCCAGATGGAAGGCCACACTCAGGTCCCTGTCCCTCTGCAGCCTTCATTCCTTGCTTCCTGGTGGCCCTGCCCCTTGCTATGTACCCCATCTCCATCTTGAGATATGAGTGTTTCCCACCCTTTGGGGAAGACACCCTGCCTCAACTCTGGCTCCTGTTCTGTCTTGGCAGGCTTCCTGGGGGCGGGGGCCCACAAGCTGAGAATGCAGAGCCTCTCTGGGATTTCCCTCTTGGTCACAGACAAGGAGGCAGGCTCACAGTCAGAGTGACCCCAGTGTGTGCCTAGCCTTCCCCTCCAACGGGGATGTCGCGAACAGTCTCCAAGTTCAGGCCAGCACTGTGTTTGACCAGTTGAATGGGGACTCTGAAGGTCTGGGGAACCCTAGTGAGGGCCCTAGGCCAGGAGCTGCTGGGCCTCTGGGGGCATCCCAGCCTTCAAGGCTCTCCTGCCTTTGTCCTCACTGGGCTTGTCCTCCCTTGCCTGGAAATTCAGAACAAAGAGGGCTCTCTAGGCTTGGCCAATGATCTGAAGTCTTTCAGACCTTAGTGGGTCTCAGACTCCCAGGTGAAAGAGCTGTGTGACCATGGCAACTTCCCCAAGCTCTCTGGGCTTCAGACTGCCCCTCTGTGAAATGGGCATACCAAGGCTCCAGGCCTCCTGGCTTGCAGCACAGATGTTGTGGCACAAACAGATGGGGTGTGGTTATTCTGGAAGTGTGTCATGGGCAGGAGGTGGGAGGAGGTAGGGACAGAGTGTCCTGGAGAGGCAAAATGCAGTGGGCCTGCATTCAGGGGTCACAAGGAGAGTGGCCGCTACCCCCTGGCCAGAGGTGGATTCCACATGAGCCAGTGATGCTGAAATTTCAGGCCCCTCCATGGCAGGGCCCTGGGAGGGACAGCAATGTATCCACAGGGTCACACTTTGCAAAAGGAAGATACTTTGGTGTTTTCTTAAAGAGGCTCCTGAAAAGCTTCAAGCTACACAAACCCTGGACCCACCTCTGTCTGGTGGGTGTGGGAGTAGCCCAGATAATCCAGGGAGGGAAGGAAAGCGGGGGAGATGGGGAGGAGGAAGCTGAAAATGACTTCCATGTGTGCAGGCTCACACCATCAAGATGTCTCCCTGCCCCCGCCTGCTGACCCGAGAGGAGGGGCCTAAAGGAGCAGTGTCTCAGAGGTGCTGGGGACCCCAGAGAAACTGCCCTGCTGCAATTTGGAGAGGGGCAAAAGGGTGGGAGACCTGGGGCCCCTGCAGAGGACAAGTTGACGTTGCACTGACCGGCTCCTCGAGGGTGACCATTTGCCAGGGTTGTCCATCCAGGACCCAGTGGGGAGTAACTGGCTCTCCAGGGCTGTTTCCTGGGGTGAGAACAGAGCACACAGTGAGGGCGACTTGAAGAACATGGCGGAGTGGGGGATGGCAGAGGGATGGGGTTATAGGACATTGGCAGGGAGGAATGGGAGGCCTTGAGGGACAGGCTCCATCCTCAACACTCATGGGCTGGAGAAAGATGGACACCTGTGGGGCATCCTTGAAACTGAGGAGCCACCAGAGAACTGGCAGAAGAGAGACAGAGGAGCCTGAGAAGGGACAGCTCAGCTGGGGATGACCTTTGGGGGGGGGCCAGGCTTGGGGTCAGAGGTCACAAGGAAGAGGCTAAGGCCCCCAGTGCAGAGGGGAAGGGACCGGGAGGCAACCTGGGGTATTTTTAGACTGAGCAGCAGATGGCTTTGGGGTGTGAGGTCTGTGAAGAGAGGATGCCTGTGTCTCCCCATCCATCTCAGAAAATCAATAGCCCCATGTTGTCTTGGAAGAACTCCACCTTGCCAGAGCTCCCCTTGGGAGCTTCATGCTAGTGGCCCAGTTCCTGGGGACCCTGGCCCAGAAGCCCCCTCCTCTTCAAGGTGAGGGGAGGCTGGGGGACAGAGCCTTGGTGCTCCCAGGCCAGATGTGCCTCAGGGATTCTAGAGGAATCCCAGAACCAAGCATTACTCAGAGGGCGCCTGGAATGCTCTGGCCTCCCCACTGGCTCCAGCAACTCTCACCAGGCCGGCCCTGCAGGAGCCAGGCCTGAGGCCACCCAGAGCCTGCAGCCAGCCCTCCCACCCCTCTGGCACTCAGTCCCTGGGGCCAGCCCAGCTCCCAGAACAGACAGCCCCTCAACCCCCACCTAGTTTTTTTTTTTTTTTTTTTAAAGATGACCGGTAAGGGGATCTTAACCCTTGACTTGGTGTTGTCAGCATCACACTCTCCCAGTGAGCCAACCGGCCATCCCTATATGGGATTCGAACCCGTGGCCTTGGTGCTATCAGCACTGCACTCTCCCAAGTGAGCCACGGGCCGGCCCAACCCCCACCTAGTTCTGACCCAATACTGTCCAGACTGATGGCTGCCGGTGGAGGTGGCTCACTCCTTTTCCTTCCCCCATCTCCTCTCCCAGATCCCAGGCATCAAAGACCTGGAACAACAGCAGCTCCAGGAGCCCCTTCCCCCAAGAAGCCCTCCTTAATTGGATGAGTAAGTTGCTACCAGGCTTTTTTTTTTTTTTTTTTAAAGATGACCGGTAAGGGGATCTTAACCCTTGACTTGGTGTTGTCAGCATCACACTCTCCCAGTGAGCCAACCGGCCATCCCTATATGGGATTCGAACCCGTGGCCTTGGTGCTATCAGCACTGCACTCTCCCAAGTGAGCCACGGGCCGGCCCAACCCCCACCTAGTTCTGACCCAATACTGTCCAGACTGATGGCTGCCGGTGGAGGTGGCTCACTCCTTTTCCTTCCCCCATCTCCTCTCCCAGATCCCAGGCATCAAAGACCTGGAACAGCAGCAGCTCCAGGAGCCCCTTCCCCCAAGAAGCCCTCCTTAATTGGATGAGTAAGTTGCTACCAGGCAGATTGGGCGGGGAGGGGGGCATGCCTTGGCAAGGAGGCTGAAGGGAGGGGTCTGAGTGGGTCTCATGGGGGGTCTCTCAGCGCAGAGAGGACTAGGTGTGGGAACCAAGCCTTGATGGTCCCAGGCCTCCAAAAGTGGAAAGGGGGCGGGTATGCCCATGCAGAGGTGCGGGTGTCCTCCACATGGCCCTGCACATGCATGCTGGCTACTGGCACCTTGACGAGTTACAGAGAGGCAGAGATAGAGCTCTGGTAACTAGGTGGATGGGGGTGGAAACTGAGGAAGCCGATCTGGTGTTGGGGGGCCCTCTCACTTCCAGGCATCCCATCACCCTCCCCTGGCCCAAGGCTAGGGCTCTGAGGGGAGGGAAAGCCTAAGGATCCTCAAAGGCATGAGAGCTGAACAGAGCAGGACCCTATAGCTATGGGATCCCCCGGCACAGTGGTGCCCAGCCCAGCCCAGCCCTTCCTGCTCCCTGGTTGCCCTCCCTGTACCCCCTTCAGGCACTTGATGTCCAGGACCCCCTGCCACCCACCCAGAGAGGTGGATGTTAGCAGCCCCATCTTACAGAGGGTTTGGAGAGGCTACAGGGGAAGAGACAGCTGCTGTCTTCCCCAGGGCACTGCTGAACAGGCATCTTCTGTTTGGAGAAGTCCTTCTCTATCTCACCAAACAAGGCAACATTATAAACAACACACACACTGCACAGGGCGCTGGGGTGAGGGAGAGGGGGTGAGCGTGGGGCCGAGGCCACAGTTAGACCTGCAGCCTGGGGGTACAGCAGGGACTCTGGGGGGCCAGTGGTGGGCACCGGGGCTATCTGGAGGAGGGAGACCCCCTGAGCCCTAAGGGGTGGAGGTGCAGGAGCGATTCACACTGACGGAGGGGGCTGGAGGTCGTGAGAGTGGAGAATCCAGGCAGAGGGGGCTTGGGGCTGGGCAGCTGCAACGAGTCAAAGGGCGAGGCCCCTCTGCTCTGCCGGAGTGTATGGGCAAGTCCGGCCCGAGGCCAGCCCAAGCACAGTGGAGAGTCCCTGGGCAGGTCCCACGGAGGCCCACCCAAACCTGCCCACGCCGCGTCCTCCCCGCCGTGTGGTCTGGGAATTTCAGACCCTCCACCCGCTGACCAGGACTCTGAGCTGACAGCCCCCCCATGCCCCCTGACCTCACCTGCCCCTCGGGTCGCACCCCCGCCCACCTCCTCACCTTGAAGCACCCAGGTGCCTGGCAGGAGCCACAGTAGCAGCAGCAGCAGCAGCACCGACGACCCCCGAGTTCCCCCGGACCCCCCGCCCATAGCTGTCAGCGCCGGGGCCTCTAAGCGGCGGCTCGCGGCCGCCGGATCCGGCTCCGCCCCTGCTGGATCGCGGCCACCCACACCCAGCGCAGCCCGGCCCGGCGCCTCCGGACCCTCCCGCGCGACCATACGGGGAGCCGGGACTGCGGCCGGTCCCGTCCCGACCCTGGCCGGCGGGACCCGACCTCGTGCGCCCTGGGAGAGCCGGGACGACCCTCCCGGGTCACAGCGGCCGTCGAGGGTAGAGCTGGGGCGGAGGCGGGAATCCGTGCGGCCCCCTCCTCGGGGGACTGGCCCGCGCCGTCCCACCCCGCCCCCTGCTGGTGGGGGGAGGGGACTGGAACCGCGGGGAAGGTTCTTTGAGGACTACGGCGGGGTGGGGCGGGATGGTGGACCGGGGCCGCCTGTCCTCGCTAGGGTCCTCCCGGGGAGCGCCCCTATCCGCGGTCTCCTGGGTCTGGTCTCTGTCCCTGCCTGACCACCCGTCCTGCCCAGGGGCGCCCCGACGAGAACCCCGCGGAAGGTTCATCTACCTGCTCTGGGGGCCCCAGGGGAAGGCAGGCCCTGGGACCGCGGCGGTCAGGTGTAGCTCGTCCCCGAGCCACAGTGGCCAGCGGCCCCTGACCCCGAGGTGCGCGCGGGGTGGGGGGACTTCAGTGCTGGGCAAAGGCGACGCGGCAGGACAGGCGCAGGGCGGGCGGGCAGCCCTTTGTCCCTGGAGATGGCCAGAGGGCAGAACGGTACAAAGCCTTAGACTCCCGGACGTGGGGGGTCCTCTCTGCCTAAGTAACATCTGTTTCTTGTTTTAGTTTTTTGTTTGTTCTTTGGGTTCTAAGTGTAAATTCGTACAGCGAGGCACGTTAACTTTTAAGCAAGTCTATTTGTATCTGAAAATTTGGAAGGTAGTAGTTCAGTTAGTAAGAGTTTCAGCAGCGAGAGAAACCTACGTTCATGTGATTTAAACATCAAAAAGTGCGACAAAATGCTTAAGGAAAAGTCTCCCTACCTCTTCTGTCCCCGTCCTCGTAGCCCTCACTCCCCAATAGGAAGCCGCTATTCGTTTCTTGCATAGGCATGTAGACAATATAGTCATATTTTTTCTCTTATATCAACATTTTTCTGCACCTTGATTTTTTTTTTCACTTAATACACCTTGAATATGAGTGCGTTTAGAGGGTCCTAATTACTGTTCTTATTGTTACTATTATTACTTTGGGTTTTTAAATCAATTTTATTAATGTGATTTATTATGACTTATGTGATTTATTAATTACAGCCGTGAGCAGGAGCTGCAAGTACCTGCAACAACGTGGGCGGTGCTCTCAAGTACAGCATTCGGTGAGGGGACATTCCAGATGCTGAAAGCACAGATGGTGTGGTTCCATTTTTGTGAGGTTCAAGAACAGGCGAAACTTATCAATGGTGATAGAAGTCAAAATAGTGGTTACCTCTGGGGAAAATGGTTGGAAGGGGCGACAAAGGGGCTTTCAGGGGGCCAGGGAGATGCTATTTCTTGGTCTGGGTGCAGGTTATATGGGTGTGTTCACCTTGTGAAAATTCATTGAGCTGCTCACTTTTCTGAATACCTGTTAGACTTCAGTAAGAAAGTTTTCAGGCTGGCCGGTTAGTTCAGTTGATTAGGGCCCGGCCTTATAACACCAAGGTTAAGGAGTTGGATCCCTGCATGGGCCAGCCACCACAAAAAAAAACGTTTAAAAAAATCCCCTACCTTTGATGTTGGGTACCCAGAACAGTCTTCCCAAATTCTGGCTGACCATTTGGTTTTTCTAAGCACCTCTTTCCCCTTGCCAAGGGACAACACTTTCCCCTTTAAATGTACTGGGTTGTCAGGGATGGAGCCTTGACTTTGGGGCCCTCCATTCATGCATGGGACTTTTCTGGCACACCCAAGCATTGGCCTGTCCTATCCAGGTGCCATCCTGGACATATCTGTGGGCTGGAGTTGGCAGCACCTACATCAGATACCCTGTTCTGGGTCACTCCTCAGGATGAGTCCTGTTTACAGATGGTGGGCGTCGCCCATTCTGAACACTTCTAAGGTTTAACTCTCACTGGTTTGCCTAGTTCCCAGGACACTTCCTGTTGTTCCTCTTGAGAGAGACACCAACAAGCCATTTGATAAATCATCTTTCCCATAGTGTTACCAAGCACGAACACCGAGCTGATTACTGGCGTTTTAGCATCCATCTTCCTCAACTTTGGTCCAATGGCTCCATCTTCTCCTCTGCCACACCAAAATGTAAATAAATCATTGCTCAGAGATTTGGGCAGAAAATTCCTTTGCCCAATTTGCTTGGACATAGTTCTTCTGGGTTTGGGAGGCATCAACTTTGCAAGGATGACTCTAATCCCCACATGGCTCTTAGGCTACATGTCCCTTTCATTTTCTTAGCACCAACTGTGCTAAGCTCTGTGCCAAGCAGTGAACAAGACCCATATTCCCAGGCCTCATGGAGCTCAGGGGAGAGAGACAAGGAAATGGACAACTACAATGCCATGTGAGACATGGTGCAGCGAGAAGTGTTGTGCAAGGGATGGTAACCTGGCTGTGGGTAAGGGAGGGCCCCTGAATGAGAAGACATCAAAGCCATGGTTGTCAGTAAGAGTTTGCCAGTTCACTGTATTTTTGCCAGAGTAGCTCTTTGAGGGGCTCTGCCTTCTCTCTCTGATGTCCACACCGAAGTCACCCGAGTGTGTTTTCTGTTGCTATAACAGAATACCAGAGACTAGGTAATTTATAAGGAAAAGAAATTTACGGGCCGGCCCGTGGCTCACTCGGGAGAGTGCGGTGCTGATAACACCAAGGCCCTGGGTTCGGATCCCATATAGGGATGGCCGGTTCGCTCACGGGCTGAGCGTGGTACTGACAACACCAAGTCAAGGGTTAAGATCCCCTTACTGGTCATCTTTTTAAAAAAAAAAGAAAAGAAATATACTTCTCACAGTTATGAGGCTGGGAAGTCCAAGACTGAGGGGCCAGCATTTGGTGAGGACCTTCTCGCTGTGTTGTAACGTGGTGGTGGGTGTCCCAGAGAGGAAGCGTGTGTGTCAGCTCAGCTCTCTCTTCTTCTTATAAAGTCACCAGTCCCATCATGGGGGCCTCAGCCTGATGACTATCTAATCCTGATTACCCCTCAAACATATGTTGATGTTACCCCAATCAACATATAAATTTGGGAATTAAGGTTCCAACACATGAAATTTGGGGGACACACTCAAATCATAGCCCTGCCCCCTCTGCATTCAGCCCTGCTTTGCGCACAGTGGAGAAGCCTCTCTGGGGATCCTCTTTGGGGGCCTGCTTTGCTTTCCTGGTCCCCATCTTGCTCTGGGCTTGAGCCACCTCAAAGCCATCAGCCAGGCGCCCTCCCAGGGTTACTGAGGCATAGAGTCGGGTACCAAACCCTGTCCCACAACCAGGCACACTGCCATCACCACCACCAACTAGGTAAGGAGCATGCCAACAACATCACCTCCATGTGGGTGGCCCACCACAGCCACCACAGTAACCACAGCTGCCGTGAAAGTGGCTAGACGCCACAACCACCGTGCAGATGGCCCACCAGCCACTGGAGTGCATTGACACAAGGAGAGTCACCAGCAGAGACCAAAGAAAAGTAGAGGACGTCTCTCTCCACAAAGCCCATTCCAGAGTGACAGAAGCAGCAGCTGCTCTATGATAATATTGGGAGATCTAACCACACCTCTCAGCATTGGACAGGTCATCTAGGCAATCAATCAACAGAGTAACCATTGCTCTTTCAGAAGGAACAGAAGAAATCTAGGGTTATCAGTGGTGGGAGGGGCAGGGAGAGGGGGATAGGGAGAGATTGGACAAGAAGCATAAAGAATAAGTACAATTTGTAACAATATACATACTAGTAATATTGATTTGGTCAACATATGTCAACGTTGAACTTGGACAAGAAGCATAAAGAATAAGTACAATTTGTAACAATATACATACTAGTAATATTGATTTGGTCAACATATGTCAACGTTGAACCCCAAAAATATATTTAAAAAAAGATTAAATAAACAAATAAATAAATATTTTTAAATTAAAAAGAAAAAAAAACTGTCAGCCAGGCCCTGTCAGGCTGCGCATTTGGTGTTGTCCTGCCACTGTCTTTGACCTCTGGGGCTTTCTCAGCTTCCTCTCCTTCTTCCTCTTCAGGACTGTTTCCATTACCATGGTTAGGACTTGTGTTTTCATAAATTCGCATTGCCCAGGATCCATTTCTCAGGAGTCCCTTTTGGAACCTCCAGTTGTGCTTCTGGTTCAAAACAGAAGCCCGGGTTTCTCGGTCCACCCTTTATTCTTTCCCAAATCCTCCCAGCATGAGAGAAGAGATATCAAAAACAGACCCTGGACATGACAGGATGCCTCACTCTCTGGCACCCTGGCTCACTTCACAGGAGGATCCAGGAATTCAATCCTGGAGTGGTAGCCTGTGCTGCCATCAGCACCCCTGCTAACCCCACTTAGTCATCTACAGAGTAAGGGGTTGAAGCCTCTCCAGCCTGTCCACACTGGAGTCCCCAACATGACCGAAGCCATTATTATTTATATTATGTCTGATTCCCCAAGAATTCATGTATAAGTGATTTATTAAGGATGTGCTCCTTGGGAGACCAGTAATGGAGTAGGAGATGCAGGACAGGCAAAGGGAGAAAGCTAAGGACATAAGCATATGAATGTTCACAGCAGCTGCCCAAACTAGGAGCCACCCAAATGCCCAGCAACAGTGGAATTGATTGCGGGGAAAATGTGGTTATGGTCATGCAATTGAATATGACCCAGCAATGAATATGAATGAGCTAAAGACACATACAACACCCTGGATACATTTCCTAAACTGGGAAAAATATTCACGATTCATACTCCAAATAAAGGGTTGATCTCCCCTGTATGTAAAGAGTTCCTTCAAATTGTTAAGAGAAAGACCAACAATTCAATTAAAAAGATGGGCTGTGGATATGAACAGACAATTCAGGGGAAAAGAGATATGAATGGCTCTTAAATGTTTGGACAAATATTCAACCTCACTTGTAAGAGGAAAGCAAACTAAAACTGTATTCTCACTTTTCAGGCTAGTAAATATCACAAAGTTTGAAAACACACTGTGTTGGTGAGGCTGTGGGAAAACAAATACTCTCAGATATTGCTGGTGCAATGATAAATCAGTACAAATTGGAGGGCAATTTGACTGTACCTACTCAAATCATGAACACATATATCCTTTGACCCAGTAATCCTGCTCGTAGAAACGTATCTCACAGATATACTTGTGTATAAGATTATCCATCAAAGCATTGTTTATAATAGAAAGTGTGATGGTTAATTTTATGTGTCAACTTGACTAGACTAAGGGATGCCCAGATTGCTGGTAGAACATTATTTCTAGGTGTGTCTATGAGGGAGTTTCTGAAAGAGATTAGCATTTGAATTGGTAGACTGAGTAAAGAAGATCACCCTCACTGATGTGGGCGAGCATCATTCAATCCGTTGAGGGCCTGAATAGGATGAAATGGTGGAGGAAGGGCAATTTGTTCTCTCTGCTTGATCTGGGACATCGACACTCCTGGTTCTCAGGCCTTTGAACTTAGACTGAATTACTCCACCAGCTTTCCTGGTTCTCCAGCTTGCAGATGGCAGATCGTGGGACTTCTTGGCCTCCATAAGCACATAAGCCAATTTATATAAATGAATCTCTCTCTCTCTCTCTCTCTCCATGTCTATATTTATATCTACATGCATAGAAAGACAGAGAAAGTGAGAGAGACTTATTACATGAAGAACACTGAATGATACAGAAAGGGATTGGAAACCATTTATATGCCCAAAGAGGGACTAAACTATAGCATTCAACCACAAAAATAATGAGGATGTTACACAACCACCAGCATGGCTAAAATGAGAAAGGCTGACATCACTGCATGTTGGTGAAGATGTGGAAGAACTGGAACTCTCTTATGTTGCTGGTAGGGAAGTAAACTAGTACGGACACTTTGGAAAATACTTTGAGAGTTTCTTAAAAATGAAATATGACCTTACCATATGACCCTGAAACTGTACTTCTAGGTAGTTACAGATGAGAAATGAAAACATTTGTTCATGCAGCAATTTCATAGAAGCTATATTTATAAGAGCCCCAAACTGGAAAAGAACCCACATGTCTCACTGGTGAATAGAGAAGCTGTGGTTCACTCGTACCATTCGAAGGAACAAACTATTGATACACAAAGCAGTGTAAATGAATCTCAAAAACATTGTAAAGAGGAAAGGAAACAAAACACAGAAGAGAACATGCTGTATGATTCTATTTATACAAAATTCTAGAACAAGCGAAACTTATCTATAGATAGAAAACAGATTAGTGGTTGTCTGGGGCTGGGAGTGAGAGAAATAGACTGGGAAGGGGCACAAGGGAACTTTTTGGGAAAGATGGAAATGTTGTATCTTGACTGTGGTGATGGTTACACAGGTACAGACACTTATCAAAACTCATCTAACTGTACACTTATTTTAACTTGAACAGATATTGTCAAACAGTTTTCCGAAGTCATGGTACATACTGTATGATTCCATTTATATAAAGTTCAAAATGAGACAAATCAAATCTATGGCATTAGAAATCAAGATCGTAGTTGCCCTTGGGTGGGGCATGAGGGGGACTCTGGGGCGCTGGTATGGTCTATTTCTTGATTTGGGTGCTGGTAACATGGGTGTTCTCACTTTTGGATAAGTCATTGAGCTGGACACTTGTAATGTGAGCACTTTTCAACGTGTATGTTACTCTTCAATTAAAAGTTCATTTAAAAAGTCTAGGGGGCCTCAGACACTGGGAGTAGACACAACTAACTCCTCTAAGAACCTTCCAATCTAAGGTGGACATATGTCCCCTTGCAGGTACACAGAAGCAGAGGAAGACTCCCAAGTCAGGTGTTCCCAAATCCCCCAGTAGCCACCCCTTCTGTGGCCCTCTGTGGTCCTCCCCTCACCCTCTCTTCCCCAGAAAGCCCCCAAACAGCTGGCTACATTTGGCCTGCTCTCTCCCTGTCCCACCTCCACATGTAGCCCAGGCTTTCCACTCTCCTGCTCAACCACAATGTAAAGAAACAAGTGCTTGCTAAGTACTCACCTACCACATGCCAAACACTGCTGGTCACACAGTAAGCCTCAGGAGCAGGCAGGGACACATACCACTTCAGCACAAAGTAGTCTGTGATAAATGGCACATAGTTTGCATTTGCACCTGCTGGCCACTTCCTACCGATGATCTCTGAGAATAAACCCTACCAACATTTGAATCCTCTGTGTCTAGCCCAGCAGCTTGGGTTGCAAGAAAGAGACTCACTCCAGTTGCATCACAGGATGGAAGTTTATTGGAAAGACATGCTGGACAGGCTCCCAGGAAGAGTCGGAATAGGGCCTGGAATGAGGGAGAGTGCAGCCTTGGCTACACAAAGCTCACCTGGCCTATGATTTCTTCCCAGCCTGCTAGCTCCTGTGCCAATGACCCACTACTCTCTGTTTCTCAGCCAAAATCCTAGAGCAGCAGACTCTTCACTCTCCCACCATCTGCTACCAGGTGACAAGGGGAGTCACTAACCCACTTGAGATCTGGCTCCCCTTGGTCCCTAATTTCCCAGGAGTACTTTATTCCTTCTTGATGACTCTCATTCCCTTTAACAGCCCCTGGCCCATGGGCCTCCAGGAAAAAGATAGCAGCTCACTCAGCTATGGAGAGGAATGAACCTGAAGCAGAAACAAGGATGCTGATGACATCTGTGTCTGCTCCCAACACTTAAAAGAGCTGGTAAGGCAGGGCCCAGCCCTGGGGCTGGGGGTGGGGGTGGGGGGGAATGGTGACACTTCTTCTTCCAGGGTCCAGATCTGGCTCAAGGATGCCTGCTCAGGCAACCCCACTGCTTGGCCTGCCCTCTCCTTAGGGATGACCAAACCTGCTTGATTTCCTCAGTCTTACTGTGAGAGAGGGACTACCTCCTCCAGGAAGCCCAGGACCTTCAATAGATGGGCACTGAGACAGAACATGGCCTGCTGGGGGCATTTAATAGGTATCAAAAAGTCCTAGGGATGAGTCCATAGTTGAGAGTCCTTTGGAAATCAAATTTCCAAATGTACTCTGGACTCAGAATAAAAACTACATTTCCCAGCCTCCTTTGCAGCATGGATTGGCCATGTGACTAAACTCTAGCCAATGGGAAGTGAGTGGAAATGACATGTGCAACTTCTGGGTTGTGTCTGATGGGAACATGGGTCCCATGTTGTGTCCATGGGTGTGCCTTCTACTTCCATGTTTCCCTCTTCTGGTTGGCTGGAATGTGGACACATGGGCCACCGTAAACCTCACAATCAAAGGCGACATTTTAGGGATGGAGAAAAGTAAGGTAGAAGGATCCTGAGTGCCAATATCCTAAACACTTTAAACCACCGTAACATACCCAGACTAGAATGGGAGAGAAAAATAAAATTCTTTTTTATTTTAAAGATGACTGGTAAGGGGATCTTAACCCTTGACTTGGTGTTGTCAGCACCACGCTCACCCAGTGAACTAACCGGCCACCCCTATATAGGATCTGAACCCACGGCCTTGGTGTTATCAGCACCGCAGTCTCCCGAGTGAGCCACGGGCTTCTTAACCCTTGACTTGGTGTTGTCAGCACCACGCTCACCCAGTGAACTAACCGGCCATCCCAATATAGGGATCTGAACCCGGGGCCTTGGTGTTATCAGCACCGCAGTCTCCCGAGTGAGCCACGGGCTGGCCCTAGAAAAATAAAATTCTGTCATGTTGCAGTCACTGTATTTGGTCTCTTTTTAGAGCATCCTGTCTTATATTCTGCCTAATACAGAGTGCCTTGGTGAGCCTGCGAAGACACAGAATGCTCCTTTTCTGTTCTGATCCATCCATAACGTCCAGGGTTGGGAGGCTTTAAGAAGAAAAATGGGAAGGAGCGGTGCCTTCTTAGGAGGAGAAATGGAGATGAGAGAGAAGAGCCAGAAGAAAGAGAGAAACAGAGATGGCGGGAGGAGGGGGGACAACACACCAACTCAGTTCCCTTCAGAGTCCCCCAGGGTCAACACCCTCCTGGATAAATTGGGGTTCATCCCACCTCTTACCACCCATTTTTCTTGGGGGCAAGAGGCCTGGATCAAGGTCATAAAAAGTCAGATGTCACAGCTGTTTTCGCAGAGGCAGGCAGGACCTAAGGCTGCCTCATTCACATTCACCAGGGCAGAGTCATCAAATATACTGGCAACCTCCTCCTCCTGGGGGCGGGCAATGCGCAGTCACAGTCAACTCAGGGGTGGAGCACAGGACGAGGTCCCACACATGGCTGCGTCAGGATCAATGAGCTTCCCACAGAGAAAACCCTGGTCACAGGAGGACTCTGGAGCAAGGGCAGTGCCCCACACCCCCAGCCTTAGGTAGGGGCCCCAAGGGGACTGGTGGGAGTATGCACGGTTGGAACTGAGCCTGGGGCCCTGGTCCACCAGAGGGTTCATCTGTGGAAGGGCACATCACAGGGGAGGAGAAACAGACTTTCCCCCCTGCCCAGGTGATGGACAGGCTCAGGAAGTGGGGAAGAGAGACCTCAAAACAAAGGTGGGGGAAGCAGAAAATGTGTCTTGGAAGTGGGGTGGTCCTGCTAAATCCAGAAAGTCTGCTCCAGTCATGTAGCCAGCCACCCAGCAAACATGTGGCTGCTCTCTGCCTAAATCAGAGTATGGCTCTCCCTGTCTCCTGAGGGGGTCCTGGGAACCTGTACTCTCTCCCCAACTTCCCCCAGTCCGGGCACCGTCCTATGAATGAGAGCAGACTCCAGATGCCAGCCCAGCAGTGTGGGTGAGCCAAGCATTGTGTCCGCATGTGCTCACATGTGCTGAATGGATACCTTTGTGGTCTCTTTCTGAATGACCATCTCCACCGAGTTCTCGCCAATTCCCAGCTTATGGAAATGCCTTGTTCTGCAAGGGCAAGAGTGGACTCAGAGAGCCTCCCCCCATGCTGCAGGCCTCCCTTCCCCTTCTCCCCAAAGGCTGGCCCCAGACTGCTCATCACTGTGCAGAGCAGTGGGAGCCCGGGGAGAGCAGGATGATTGATATTTCTTCCTCCCCAGTCTTTTCTCCACCACAGACAGGGCAGAGAGAAGGAAAGAAGAAAACTACAGCAAGGTTTATTTAGAGGTGATTCTAGAAGGGATTCTCAAGTTTGGTGGGAACAGGCTAGGAAGTATGCAGCCTGTGAACTTGGTAGGAGGGACGTTCCCCTAAAGAATGTGGGATGTTGGGAGAAAGCAGGGAGGATGAGGTGGCCCAGCCCCTCACCCCCAGCTCTGGACTCACCTCCAGGTGTGGCAGGCTCCCAGGCCCAACAGCAGGAACAGGAGGCCCACCAGCAGTCCCAGGATCCAGAGAAGCTGCTGGAACAGATGCAGCCGGTGCAGGGCTGCAACACGGAGGTGGGGTTCAGGGGAAATCTCCCATTCCAGAACCCCAATGCTCCTACCCAAGGTGACCTGCCCAAGATGAAACCTTCTATTCTTCACTTTATCTGCAAGGCCCTCCATGCAAGGGAGCTCCAAGCAATTCATTTAGACTAGACAAACAAACTGTCTTGTAGTAGAAGGGATTCAGGGAAGGATGCCGTTGGACCAGAGAGCTGGGCCTTTGTGCAGAGTAGCCTGGGAGATGGAGCCCCCTCCCCTCACTCACCTCTGACCCCAAAGTAGGTGGAGGCAGAGGCAGAGCCCAGGGCGTTGGAGGCAGAGCACATGTATTCCCCTTGATCACTGGGCCTCAGCTCCTTGATGTCCACCCTCAGGGCATTGGGGGAGGCCGAGACATGGATGTGTGGATCAGCAGGAGCACTCCAGGGCTGACTGGAGGCCACCAGTCGGCTGCCGAGGTGGAGGGTCAGGTTGGCCAGGGGCTCACTGTCCACTTGGCAGTCCAGGATGCCCTGGAGGCCACCCTCGGGCTCCACAAAGACCATCATGGTGGGCATCTTGGGAGGGTCTGTTGGGGGGAAGGGAAGTGGTGATTGTAGAAGACCACACATTCCTCTTCCCTGTACCCATGCACAGCAACTGCTGCACCTCCTACTGAGAGGTGGAGCCTATTTCCTCACTCCTTCAATCTATGACTTGCTTTGACCCATAGACAGCAGAAGAAGTGACATTGTGTGACTTCAGAGCTAGACAAGAGGCCCTGCAGCTTCTGCTCTGCCTCCTGCAACACAACTATGTGGGAAGCCCAGACCAGCCTGCTGGGCACACGTGGCCCAACCGCCAGCCACAAGGGTGAGGCCATCTTAGACCATCTGGTCCTAGTCGAGCCACTGGACAACTACAGCCATGCAAGGTGAGACCAGCAGAAGAACTGCCCAGCTGAGCCCAGCCCACAAAATTGTGAGCAAATAACATGGCTGCTGTTTGAAGCACTAGGTTTTGGGGTGGCTTGTTTCGTAGCAATAGCTGCCTGATACGGCGTGGGCCCTGCTGAAGAAGGGAGCAGGAGACCAAGGCTGGTGAGGGTCTTGTGTGCCAGGCGCTCAGCATGCTCTGTCTCCTATAGTCCTCCCAAGATGAGGGGATGGTTTTAGTCCCCACTCACAGATGAGGAAACCAAGGCACAGATGCACAAGGTCACATCCAGTCAGTGGGAGAGCCAGGACTCCATGCCTGTGAAGCCCTTGCTCTTTTCAGATAGAAGAGGAAGAAGACCTAAGGTGGGCATGTGAGATGTGGGGAGACTGGGGCGGGGGGGCACACTCACACAGCACATGGAGCATAACTGGAGTGGAGGTGGCAGCGCCGGCAGGGAGCTCAGCCTGGCAATGGTACAGCCCAGCTTGGGCACGGGCCACATGGGTGAAGGCAAGAATGGGCACAGGCTCCACTGGTAGTCGACGGCCGTTCCAGAACCATACAAAGGTGGAGTTGCCCACAGCCCCGGGGCCGCCACGGAGGCGGCAGCTCAGGTTCAGCGCTGTGCCTTCAGGCACGTCCAGGCCTGGCTCGGCCACCACATGCACACCTGTGGGCCAAGTCGGTTGGGGATCTGTAGGCATGGTGGGGCCAGAGCCCCTGGGCAGGACTTCTGAGAGGCTTCTGTGCATTGTGGGAAGGTCACAATCTGACTTGGAATCTGGGCCCTGCAAGGTAGGATTGTGCCTCCTTCACCAGACTAGGCTCCTCAAGGCAAGGCTATCTCATTCCCCTTCAGACCAAACAGCCCCCTCCAGCAGGAGCCCCGGCCCCCCACATGGACTCAGGCGCCACAGCACCTGAACCCCACGCCTGAGCCCCCTTCTCCTCCCCTCTCTCTCGCTCACCTTCCACCTGCAGCAGCCTGGTGGTGCTAACTGAGCCCAGCAAGTTGCGGGCTGTGCAAACGTAGGTGCTGTCATCACCTGCAGGCACATCTTGTACCTGCAGCCGCAGAGCATTGCGGGTCACCTGGACATGGCTCATCCCCAGTGCCGAGTTCTGGACCCCGTGGCTGGTGGCCAGCACCTTGCCATCTCGGGACAGGGCCAGCACAGCAGGTGGTTCGCTGTCCACAGTGCACTGTACCACAGCCATGGGCCTGGTCCTAGAGTCCCAGAAGGAGGACAGGACAACGTCCTGAGGGGCATCTGGGGGCAGGGAAGGGCACCGGTGAGGGCCTTGCCTAGGCACTGTCCCACCTGATGCTGGCACCCTCTGGGCAAATGTCAACTTCCTACAAATGACGCCTTCTCTGGAGACCTGTGGGCAGGGTCCTCCAGGCAGGGTTCGTAGGGCTATAGGGTCTCTTTCCTCATCACCTATGTCCTTCTTTCCCCATGTGCTCAGGCCTTGCCTAGGCACTGTCCCACCTGATGCTGGCACCCTCTGGGCAAATGTCAACTTCCTAGAAATGACGCCTTCTCTGGAGAACTGTGGGCAGGGTCCTCCAGGCAGGGTTCGTAGGGCTATAGGGTCTCTTTCCTCATCACCTATGTCCTTCTTTCCCCATGTGCTCATTCCTGAGCCCACTGCAGTCCTGTGTGTACCCCCCACCCGGGCCTGGAAGTGCCCTCCACCACTCTCGTCCCAGGAAGCCCCAGCCGAAGCCCCTGCTCACAGAGGACTCGCAGGGCAGCAGGCCGGGAGCTGCGTGTGCCCTGGGTGTCCTGGACCTGGCAGGAGTAGGCGCCCACGTGAGCCCGTGTGACCACTGGGAAGGAGAGTGAGGCAGCCGTCCCCTCCTGCAGCCAACGACTGTTGTGGTACCAGGTATAGAGAGCAGGTGGGCGGGCAGCAGGGTCCTCACAGGTCACTGTGACAGGGGCCCCCTCAGCCACAGTAGCCGATGGAGCCAGGGTCACCTGCACACCTGTACCAAGGAGGCTAGGGTCAGCTGGGCCCAGCCACACACCACAGTGAATTCCCACCCATGTGGGCTTGGCCTGGGCCCTGCCTCACCCTCCAGCCGCAGCTCCAGGGATGCGTTGGCCTGGCCCAGAGGGCTGTGGGCGGAGCAGCTGTAGAGACCCTCGTCACTAGGCCGTGGCTCCCACAGCTCCAGGCGCAGGGTGTTGGGGACAGAGTCTGCCGTTGAGGAGGCCAGGAGGAGGCCAGCACGGCTAAGGGCCAGCTGGGCTGGTGGGCGGCTGTCCACAGTGCACAGCACCAGGGCCAGCTGCCTACCACGGCTCTCCAGGAGGGAGGTCAGGTGCAGGCTGCGGGGTGCATCTGCAGGGGTGCAAAGGCACACATGGAAGCTCGAGGTGGCGGTCTGGAGGTGGCCAGTTGCAGATGGGATTCAAACCCAGGAGGGCCCTGGTTTCCCACTCTAAGGGCCCCAATTGCCCAATCTGGGGCACTGCTCCTCTGCCTAGAAAGAACCTGTCCCCACTCCCCCAAAGCTCTGATGTCCCTTGTCCAAATCTCTGTCAGCTGGCTGGGTACTGAGTTCCCAGGCTGGACACCCATGGGGCTCTGGCCGTGCCCTGATCCCTGTCAGCTGCGGTCATTCCTTCCAACTCCACCTGGCATCCAACCAGACTCACAGAGGACGTCCAGGGTAACGGGTCTGGAGAGGCGAGGCGCCTGGCCAGGGGGCCCCACGCCACAGCGGTAGGAAGCGGCATCCGAAACTGTGACAGTGGGTAGGGAGATGGCCCGGGCACCTGGGCGCTGCTGCCCATCCTGGTACCACGTGTAGGTGAGCTGGGCCAGGCGGGTGGTCCAGGCAAGGCAGGTCAGGTTCACCAGCTGCCCCTCCTGCACTGTGGCTTTGGGCCACACCTGCACGCTCACAGCTGGGGAGAGAGGGAGGGCAAAAGGTCACCGTGAGGGTGTTGAGGTTGTGTAGAGCAAGCCACTTGTCCCCATGTGGGAGAGCTGCTCTTACTTCTGGGGAGCCCGTTGGCCTCTGTGAGCCTCAGGTGGCCCACCTGTAAACGGGGCTTGGAGATTGAGCTTAAGAAAAAGCTCATTGTCTCTCGGATGGTCCCAGTGGAGCTCTGCAGAGCCCTGGGGAACCCTGAGCCTCGCCCTGACCCTGGTGGAGTGCAAATGGGGAGAACACAGGCCTCTCCTGCCCTGCTATGGTTTCTCCTTGAGACCCCCTTTCCGATTCATTTTATCCACTGGGCATACATGGAAAATTCTGTGTTTAAAAAGGCTTTTCCATGAAACCCAAGTCTCGCAGGCTTGTGGAACCCTCTCCCACCTCGTCTCCGCTCTTAAAGGAACCACTCAGACACCCACACTGACCCTGGGCATCGAAGTCGGCCGAGGCCGAGGCCCGGCCCAGGATATTGGTGGCCTCGCAGGTGTAGACGCCCTCATCTTCCAGCACTGTGTCGTGGATCTCCAGGCGCAGTGTGTTGGGGGCCAAAGCCACCTGTAGCCGGGGGGAGCTGCCTCCCGTTTCCCCCACATCTCCTAGGGAAGAGGCCACAAGGCGGTCCTGGTGGAGCAGCCGCAGCTGGGCTGGAGGATCACTGTCCACACGGCACAGGAAGAGGGCCAGTCGCCCAGGTCCTGTGTCCATCATGGTGGTGAGTGTGGCCTGGCGTGGAGCATCTACACAGGGTGGGGAGTTGTCAGGGCCTGGCCAGGGGGCCCCTCATCCTCACAGTGGCAGGGTCCAGCACCAACCTCTCCCCCAACCAAATAGATGGGATAAAAGCCCTTACAGGACACATGGAGGCTGACGGGGGTGGCCAGGCTTGTGGTGGCCGAGCCTGGGGCCTGAGCTTGACAATGGTAGGCCCCAGCCAGTGTTGGAGTTATGGCTGCAAAGTGGAGCGTGGCTGAGGTTGAGTCCCGGAGGGGCCGGCCATCCCGATACCAGCTGTAAGAGGTCCCCTCAGGGACGCCTGTGGGTACCTGGCAGCTCAGGACCACGGCCTGACCCTCCCGGAGCTCGGGTGAGGGTGACACCTGGACCCAGGCTCCTGCAGGGAGAAACCGAGAGCAGATGAGGCTTCTCCACCATACCTCCCACATTCTGGACTGTACGTCCACATGGCACTGCATGACCACAACCCTGTGTCCAGGAGCCATAGCTCCCCTCCAGACATGGCCCAGGTCCCCACTTTAGCTCCATGCCTTGGTCTCTCCTGCTCCAAACTCACCCGCACTGGCCCTGTCCTGGCATTTACCACCCACCACCTGGAGTTATGGTTTTGCTCCATCAGTCCTGTCTCGCCTACCAGAGGGTGACCTCGTGGGGGCTGGGCTTGTGGGACTCTAGCCCCCGTAACCCCAGTGCCAGGCACAGTGCTTGCATGTGTTAGCTCTCAACAAATGTTTGTTTGACCCATAAAACAGTGAAACAGGAGGGATTTAGGTCATGGTGAGGGCCACTGCCCTGACCATGAGCTGGATTCAGCATGGGTGACCGAAGGCTTGGAAGCTGAGGTGAGCAGCTGTATGACCTTGAGTTCTCCCTAGCCCAGCTCTGCACCCAGGCTTCAGGCCGTGAGAGCCCAGGAAACAGACCTGGCAAAAGGGCAGCTCCTTGGTGGCTCCTGGGTCTGAAGCAGGAGGATATCAGGGTGCAGGGAGTGAGATGGAGGGACAGCTGGAGTGGTCATTGAGAGCACAAGCGATGCCTGGGACCAGAACCAAGTTAGTCCAGAGCTAGCAGGGCCCCCTGCTTGTCATGTGACTGTGAGCAAGCTCCTATAACTCTGACCCTCAATTTCTCTGCCTATGAGATGGGTATGATAAATAAGAAAAGACACAGAGTCAAGGCCGAAAGTGCCCCAAAATTGATGCTGTTTGTCATTGTGGGAGAAGACAATGTCCTTTTTGCATTATGTTTTTTCTTTGGCCTTTGCATTATGAATATTATCTTTCCTTTTTCCTGGCTTATTTGCTTAGCGAGGATTTTTATAGAGAATATATATGTGCGTATAAATGTACATGAATATGTATATATAGATGAATGAAGACTATGAATATATTATGTGTAAGAATACATATATATATTTGTATGTGTGTATATATATATACTTATATATCTATGCATAATATATGTATATATTAGGCTTTGTATGAGAATGTTTACTATGTAACAAAATCATATTATTACAAAATAAGTTATTTATCAGAAAGTGCCCCAACCAAGTAAACCACCTGGTGCAATTGCCACTGCTTCCTAGTGGCTACTGCAGTTATTACAGGTAAAAATATCTCACTGGAAGCAAAGGGAAGCCTTCTGCTGACCTCTAACCACAGCTGAAAAAGGCTTCCATTTCTGCACAAGATCCACATCACCCGGCCCACAGTCTGACCAGAGTAGTCCCCAGGACATCAGGGTCTACCACATCTTGAGAGGACTGACACTCACCTCGGACCTGAAAGAAGAGTGAAGTGTTGGCTGACCCAAGAACGTTTGTGGCTTCACAGCGGTAGCTGCCGGAGTCCCCAAGGGCCAATTCTCGGATCTCTAGCTGCAGGAAGTTGGCTGTGGCCTTGGCCTGGAGCCGGCTGTGGGATGGGAGCTGAGGCCCCAGGCTGGTGGCCAGGAGGCGCTTCTCATGGAACAGGGCCAGCTGCGCTAGGGGGCGACTGTCCACAGTGCAGATGAACACAGCCATGTGGCCTTGACCCATGTCCAGGAGGGCCGACAGCTTTGGAGGATCTGGGGGATCTGTAGGAACAGGGGGAGCTCAGGCCACCCCAGCCATGCCCTGTTTTTCCCCAGACCACCCCTCCACCATCCAAGTCCCTAGGCTGCCCTTGCTCGTCACCCACAGAGTACACTCAGGACCACAGGAGCAGACAGCTGGGCGCCAGCCTCTGTGAGGATGCGGCAGGCATAGAGGGCGGCATCGGTTCTGGCCACAGGCAGCAGCGTCACTGTCTCCAGGGGGCCCTGGGCCCACAGTGCCCCATTCCGGAACCAGGAGAAGTTGGCAGGGCTGTCAGCAACCTCCCGGCTCACGTTGCAAGTCAGGTTAGCCTCGGTGCCCTCCCGTAGCGTATCCGATGGTGTGATGACCAGGACAGTGGCTGCAGGGCAGTCAGCACAGGCTCATTTTGACTATAGCCCTGCCCCCAGGTGCTGGTGTTCCAGCCTCCCAGCTTGGAGGGGGCAGAAACGAGACCACATGGGGTGCCCACAGGGTGAGGGAGGAAGGCAAATGAGACATGGGGGCAGTGGGGTGCACTATAAGAGAAGGAGGGCAAGACTGCCCAACTGTCCCACCTGAGGAAGCCTTCCTCAGAGATCAGCCTCGCAGCCCCAGGCCCCTCCCCTGCCCAAAAACTAAGCACAGGAAGAAGCAGTTTTTGGGGGGCAGCAGCCAGGGGGCCCTCACTGCTGTCATCAAGGGCAGCGTTGCCTCCTCCCACTGCCAAACAGAAGTGGTTTTGCCTGATTAAACCCTCCCTGGAGCAGGGGGTGCAGAAGAATAGCCTGGAGCTCCAGCACCCTGCCCTCAAGCTGCCCACTCCCTGCCCCAACTCACCCTGGGCATTGAAGGTGGCCAAGGCAGAGGCATTGCCCAGGTCATTGCTGGCCTCACACAGGTACACGCCCTCGTCCTCCAGCACTGGGTCACGAATCTCCACACGCAGCAAGTTGGGGGCTTTGGTGACCTTCATGCGCTGGCAACAGCCCCCACAGGTGCCGTAGCCACCCCCCAATGGCAGGGAAGTGGCCACAACGTGGTCCTTGTGGAGCAGCCGTAGCTGGGCTGGAGGGTCACTTTCTACATGGCATAAGAGGAGGCCTCGCCGTCCAGCCCCGGCTCCAGCAGCATCAAGGTCCAGCCGGGCAGTGAGCGTGGGCTGGCGTGGGGCATCTGTAGGGAGGAGGAGCATGGGCACTCATCCCACAGCCACCACCAGGGCCCCACAGGTGCACTCAAGGCTGGCTAGGCTCCCAGAGTACGCTGGACAAAGGCACGTTACCAGAGTTGCTGCAAACAGCTGTGCAGGCTGTGCACTGCACGAGGACATCCAGACACGGTGGGTGGAATTCAACCCATGCTCCTTGAGCTAAGCTGTGACCTGCTGCTGGACTGGGTCCTCCCAGAAGAAGGAGCACAATTTTCTAGCTTGGACAAAGGTGCTGCATGGGCTGGCAACCACCTTGTGTAAGTCCCACCTGCTCCTGAGCAGGATGCAGTCATAGCCAGCCCTGGATTCCTGCTCCCTGCTCCCACCCTCCCACCCACCCCTTACACTGAGCCTTCCCCCAAGAGCCGTCCTGCTTCTTATCTCCAATCTCCAAGCCAGCTCCCATGATACTAGATAATGCCTAAAATGACCTCTTCCTAGAGGCTTCCAAAGATGAAGGGTCAAAAGAGAGCCATCAGCCAAGACCTCCATGTGATCTCACTCAGACACCAGAAAACCTCTGGAGAGGCGGCTGCCCTTCTGACTGTCCCCAGACATCATTCCTGCACATGCATGTCAGGAGAAGCCTTCTGGAATTACTCTGGCCCTTGGATTAATATGGAACATCTACCCTTGACAGGATGCAGTGTGTTTGGTCTGTCCCTGTGCTGAGGGTTCTGCCTTTGTGTCTGCGGGAACCCATGAGGGTGCAGCCTATCAGGTGTGGGCACGTATATAGGAGTATGGCGTCCCAGGGCAACCCAGGAGGACAGAGCTTGGATATGGTGTCCACAGTGGGTTTGAGGCTAGGGACAGAGGATCCCCAAAGGGCTGGAATGGGAGGGGGACGCGCAAGGAGGTAGAGAAAGCCCTAGCCTCATTCCCCAAATGTCAGCCCTGGGTGGAGAGATCCATGGTGCCCAGGCCTGTGACTGCCCTCCTGATGTAGACCCCAGCGCAGGACCGGGTCAGGAGAGCCTGGAGGATGTAGGGATGGCTGGTGGGTCCCAGTGGGCTGATCCTCTCACAGCAGCTGGGGGCTGGTGGTGAGGCCACTCACAGAGCACAGTGAGGATGGTGGGCAAGGAGGGGCCGCTGGTGCTGTGGCTGTCCCAGGCCCGACAGTGGTATGAGCCGGCATCAGTGCTGGAGGCTGCGGGGAGCAGGAGGCTGCTGCTGGGCCCCTCGAGAAGCAGGGCTCCATTCAGGTACCAGGAAAAACGGGCGTCAGACATTGGGGTCAGGCCACTCCTGCAGCTCAGAGTCACTGCCTGCCCTTCCACCACCTCTGCTGCCGGGCTGATGAGGAGGCGGGCTGCTGGTGGGAGAGGGAGAGAGGGAGGCTGTGAGGGCCCCCACCCTCCATGCCACCCACTGCAGGAAGCCCTCCAGGGTTCTCCTCTCCCCACATCACTGTAGGTTGATCTGGGCTTGGTGGTGGATCAGGAGGGTTGGGTTTGAGGCTAGGGACAGAGGATCCCCAAAGGGCTGGAATGGGAGGGGGACGCGCAAGGAGGTAGAGAAAGCCCTAGCCTCATTCCCCAAATGTCAGCCCTGGGTGGAGAGATCCATGGTGCCCAGGCCTGTGACTGCCCTCCTGATGTAGACCCCAGCGCAGGACCGGGTCAGGAGAGCCTGGAGGATGTAGGGATGGCTGGTGGGTCCCAGTGGGCTGATCCTCTCACAGCAGCTGGGGGCTGGTGGTGAGGCCACTCACAGAGCACAGTGAGGATGGTGGGCAAGGAGGGGCCGCTGGTGCTGTGGCTGTCCCAGGCCCGACAGTGGTATGAGCCGGCATCAGTGCTGGAGGCTGCGGGGAGCAGGAGGCTGCTGCTGGGCCCCTCGAGAAGCAGGGCTCCATTCAGGTACCAGGAAAAACGGGCGTCAGACATTGGGGTCAGGCCACTCCTGCAGCTCAGAGTCACTGCCTGCCCTTCCACCACCTCTGCTGCCGGGCTGATGAGGAGGCGGGCTGCTGGTGGGAGAGGGAGAGAGGGAGGCTGTGAGGGCCTCCACCCTCCGTGCCACCCACTGCAGGAAGCCCTCCAGGGTTCTCCTCTCCCCACATCACTGTAGGTTGATCTGGGCTTGGTGGTGGATCAGGAGGGTCTGGCCTTGAAAGCCAATTCAGATCTATTGGTAGTAGCTAGCTGTGGCACAGCTGAGGAGGATCCCGAGCCAGAGCCCAGGCTTATATCAAAATCCTGGCTTGATCGATTAGCTGTGTCTACCATGGCATCGGAAGGAGGGAAGGGCACTGCACCCACCAAGAGCTGGAAGACTCTACTTCTCTATTTTGCCCCCCACGTCTGACTCCTGGCAGAGAGCCTGCCCCAAAAGTTTGATAAATAAAAAATAAACGAATACCGATGAAGTACTCTCCAAGTTCAGAGTGTGCAAAAAAAAAAGGTAATGTGACTGGCCGCATATTTCCCTTCTTGCCTTGGCTTCCAGGAACCTCTGAGGTGGGATGACTGTATAGCCCAGGTCCTTGATGTGACTTGAGCAGCTAGCTCGGCCCCTCAATTGAGTCAGTCCTCTGGACTCCAGGAAGGAGGAAGCCGGAGTAGGTCTCCTCCTCAGGTTCCCTCCACTTGCCTCCCCTGCCCCCCACCCGTGTCCACCTTACCATTGGCATGGAAGTCCAGGGTGGAGGTCGCATTTCCAAGGGAGTTGGTGGCCGAGCACTTGTACTCCCCACTGTCGGCTGGTTCCAGGTCTCGGATCTCCAGGCTCAGGGAGTTGGGAGCAGAGGAGACACTGAAGCGTGAGCTGTAATTACTCTCTCCAGAGGTGGAGGCCACGGTAAGGCCCCCGTGTGACAACACCAGTGCGGCCAGGGGCTCACTGACCACGGAGCAGTGGAGGATGCCCATGAGCCCGGCCTGCGTCTCCAGGAAGGCGGTCAGGTCCGGGGCAAGGGGTGGGTCTGTGTGGAGATGAGAGGCCTCAGACAGGGGCACTCCCTAGATCCCCACTATAGCCTATGACCCCTGCACCCCTTTGCCCCAGCAGCTCCTGAGTGCCAGCTGAATACGCTTTTGTCCTTGGGCTGGGCAAATCACTCTGTTGTCCCAGTCAATCCCCGTGGCCCCCCTGCAAGTGTTGCCCCACTTTAGAGGTGAGGAACTGGTGGGGAGACCTGGCAGTGGACAGCACCTTAACCAGGTGATCAAAGTGAACACTGTCAGCAGGAGACAAACGGGCATCGTGTGCCTCCATAGGACTCAGTGAGGCAGTCACAGCATCACGTCTGTGGCATTCATGCCCA